TGTGCTGTAATGAAGGCTTCTGACACACAGTAATGAGGGTTAAGGAAAGCCACATCCTAATCAATTCTGAGCTTAGGTTTATAGATAGAAAGGTATAACCCGGCAATCATTCTTTCTGAGTAACCCCAATTTGCTTCTCCGGGGCTTGGATTGATCAAATCCAGGCTGGATTGGATTCAGACGGTTCTTCCATCATTCCTCTTTGTCCTAACATCTGTCAACAGATGGGTCTATGGCTATCAGTTTGGAGCTATTGCACCCCCCCCCACACTGCAGCTGACCCATGACCAAGAAAAATCCTCCTTGGCTAAGAGGCTGAAGATATCGGGAAACCAGAAAAGGGCCTGATATGCAGAGATCCACTTACATATCGATAGAAAAACCTTGTGTGTTTTACTCCAGCTCTGCTCATTCTCTGCCTGCCATCTGCTTTCTTCAGTGGAAGACCAATTTGGGGGGGGGAGGGGGGCACTCTAGGGGAGAATGAGCCTCTAGCATTTTTCCCACCTCTAAGCTGGCTTTTCTCTCCTCCTGGTCTGTTTTGCACTAGAAATTGAGATTTCCCATGGCATGTAGTAACCCCATATAGTATAATTGTTTTTTTAGAAGTTTGCAGCTGCACACAAGGGGTCAGGAGCCAAAGGTTATTGCCTTAGAAGAATAAATAATATGAAGTCTCTTGAAAGAGAGATCTGTGGTAGTATAAACCCTCTGTGTAAACCCAAGGAAAAAGGGATGGTGGCAGAATCTCACTGTTTGCTGCTAAAATCTATTCTAGTTGTTGTTGTTTTACCGCTTAGAAACTTCCCAGTTATTTTGTTTGGCTGGACTCTTTTTTTCCTGATTATTTATTTATCAATTTATTTGCCACCCATTTTGCCTCAATAGGAGCAAGCGGCATGCATAAACCAAGCAATGGATCGGCCATGTTAATTGACACAAAATCCCAATCTCTAACTGGCCTTCATAGGGTTTCTTCAGTATGTGCCTCAATTTCACAATCCATGCTCTACTGCAACCAAACCACCAGCTGAGGCTTACAACCAGCGTAACTACACAATGGAAATCGTATTGATTTTATTAATACGTGCTTGGGGTTTCAGTCTTGAAAAAAGGAGAGAGCCTTAGTGGTATTGTTGTGCTTCTACTGGTTTAAAATATGCCACTGTTTTAAGATAACACCAAAATCCTGGCTAGAAAACAAGTAAACTCTTCCAACTATGCTGCTGCTTACCGATCTGAGTACATTTGTCATCAAAAGAAGTCAATAAAGTTGTAATGTAACACAGTTCTATTGCATCTATATTTATGTTCAGACGTACAAGGATTGGTTAAGATCATGATTTCTATCTGACCAACGTATAGGTAGTCCTTGCTTAATGACCAGTTGTTTAGTGACCATTTGAAGTTATGACAGATCTCCCCAGAACTATTTAAGATTCGGTTCCAGAGTTCTGATGGCTGAGCCCCCCTCCCAGTCATGTGATTACATTTTGGGTGCTTGCCACAAAACACCCATTGAAGAAAACATGCTTGTTTAACGACAAGTGTGCTATCTTAATAACCCCTGCAAAAAAAGGTGATAAAATTGGATGCGGTTATATGCAAGCCACTTAATGACCGGCATAATTTACAACCATAATTCTGAGATCCATTATGGTCATAAGTTGAGGGCTTCTTACAAGCCCATATCTTGATATCTAGATAGATATGTGAAGTTTGCTAGTGCCAGGCAGGGTGGACAGTTATCCATACTTGCATGCATGCAGGAGTGTAACTTGTTGGTTTTAAACAAATATTCCGGATACACCTGAAGATAAATTATGGCTGGTCAATGCTGATATTCAAAAATGTCTAAGAGAATTCGAATGAGATGAAAATATGCTCACTGGACCAACTTGGAGTAGACTGAGAGAACGTAGCCATTCAATCCCTCCTCCCAATTTGCTAGGAAAATGCAAAAATCTTGATCTCAGTTTTATCATGGTATGTAGGTATGCTAGAAAAGTATGTCTGTGTCCAAGGAAGTTAAATTGCTCTTGTCCACTGTTTGATTTTTGACCACAGTATGGCTCAAATGAGTATTTATTCTCAGCAAAACAAATCTGGGATTCCATCTGGAGATCAAGAGAGAAAAGCATCTAGGAGTTCACAGCAAAACAAAACAAATGATTACATATATTAATTCATTTTCTTCTAAAAACTGGATTCTTTTTAAAAAGCATTCAGAGTTGAAATACATGGGTTATGTTATATTTAGTTTTATCCTAGTTAGCAAGGTTTGTCCCTAATGTCCAGTTCAAAATTTGTCCGGGAAGGTTAATGACTGGCAAAGCAATTTTCAAGGCGAAACAAAATTGTTTAATTTGTTCCAGTTAATTTAATTAGAACCAGCTCCCTATCTTTACAATCATTAGGCTAAAAATTTTTTTATTGACTGTGCTCCAATCTGAGTCCGGCAATCCAAAATGGGCTAAAAATTTTAAATAAATAAATAACCAGTTAATGTACAGCTGTGATAGGTCTGCCTTGGAGAGGGATATATAATTTAGACCACCACTGGGTAGTGAAGAGGTTGTGAAGATATTTTTCAACTTAATATTTCAAGCATCAGATTCATATTCCTAATAATCTTTAAGAAAATAAACTGTTGATGAAGAAGACCTTTGATTGCATACATTCCACCAGTCTTATTGTAGAGAAAACAGGAGGTTGGTCAGAAATAAATGTCAAGACTCCCTTTGAAGGAGGACCTGTACATGCTGTTTAAAAATGTGAATTAACGAAATGTATTGAATCTCCAAAATGGTTTAGCAGAAGTGCAGATACAGTATATCTCATTTCCGTCCCTGTCTAAAAATATATACATATGAATGCTGACATTCAGACGATGGTTCCCATTCTAAGCACTGATCATACTATAGAGAACAACATGATGCTCAAAAGAACAGCCACTCTCTTCTCCTTTAAATCAAAGTGGGCCAGGTAACTGAAAGAAGTGTCAACTCAATACGGGACAGTGAGAAAAAGGCTATAGGAATTATTAACTTTGTCCCTATATTAATGGTTGGTAGGAAAGGCCAACCTATGTAGCCTCTCTGATCTGTCAACTTTCAAAACTAGCAATCTAGAATCCAAAATGTTCAAAAGTGAGAGGGGATGAATACCTCCCTTCAGTGCCACTTTTTTCAGATAAAAACTGCCCTCCCACTGCCCCTTGTTAGCGGACAGGTATCTATTCACAGATTGAGCTCTCCGTGTTTCAGCAAGCAAAGGAATGAAAGGGATAGCAATGCTTAAAACATTTGTGAATGTGTCCATTCTCTTTCAATTGGTCGAATACTTTTCAGAACCTGGCAAAGGCCTTCTCTGAAAGAATAAACTAGACGTCTGTGAAACATTCTCCTCAAATTTTATAGAAGTCATGAAGGATTCACCTGACAAACTGGTATATTTGTTACTCCATGTGTGGATTGGAGACCATGTGAGAGTATGGGTAATCTTAACTCAACCTTCTCTAACCTAGCACCCTCCAAATATGTTAGAATGCAATTCCCATAATCACCAATGGCTGGGGGAAGGCTGATGTTGATGTCTTTAAAATGGCACTTCCCTGGCTCCTAGCATTTTTGACGTAAGGACCAATATTATTTTCTGTTCATCTTTTTCTCTCTCCTTCTCATTCCCAATCGTATATGCATCTAAGTGTTTTACAATTCAAACAGCATCATAAAATAACATCGTCCAATAATTATATTAAACTAGAGAGCTTAATTAATATTAACTGCCTACCTAAATAGAATGCTTTGCAAAGGCATTTAAAAAGGCCAATTTTCAGAGCCTGCCTAACGCAAACAGGGAAAGAATTTCATATCCTCTGCCCTGCCACAAAGAAAGCTTCTTGATCTTTGCTTAAAATGAAGACAATTGATCGCAGACTTCTTAACTAACCCTGAGCAAGGTGTTTCCCTCGTCGTTTCTTTTATTCATAACTACAGTTTGCAGGACAAGATGGCTTAAACTCACACCAATGCTATGCGTTAATACATTTTAATATGTGATATGTACTAGCATTTTAATTAATAAAATGTTGCCACCTTTTTCTAGCTATGGTTTGCAGAGAGTCACTGCCCCCCGACTACCGTAAAGGGCAAATCCACCCAACTGAAACTGGCCCCCGCGGCCTTCCCAGAACCTTGAGGTGAGATGAGAACCCACATGCAAGGACCACCCTCTGAACTCTTCTTGGCATCTCCTTTTTAAGCTTGAAGGGCTGCTGGTATAAAGAACTCCTTAGGGCATTTGGTTTCAACGGCTGCCTGTTGATAATGGCAGAGCTGGAGCAGAAGAGGATGCTCATTATTGTCAGGAGGAGATGTCTAAGAGCCAGCTAGCCGAACACTTCAAAACCTCAGGAGTTCTCCAAGTGATGACTACCAACAGTAAACTTAGAGGGAATAGAGAGACTAAATGCAGGAGATTTGACAGCTGTACAAAACAGACTCCAAGGGAAGGAGAAATAAATAAGGGAAAAGTATTGTATTGATGTCTGATCTCTCGCCAATGTGCTGGAGAGTTTGTTGCCTAATAGCATACATGGACTCAGTGCAGGAAATATACAACGTTGAAAGTGCCTGTGCTTCCCGTTGAGCCAGTGGTTGTCGTTGTTGTTTAAAAAGAATGCTGTTTTCCAATAGCCAGTAGCAATTAAGAAGCTAGATATATTTTCTTCCTCCATTCTCAATAGAAAAGGGTATCGGAAAGAAAGCTTTTTATACCTTACCTAAGAATGCACAGGGCTTACCTCACATTTTTTTTTTTAAAAAAATATTTTCTTACTCACCACAGTTTTATAGGAAAGTTCTAAGCAGGGACATCCCACCCACCCCCAACCCCTAAAGTGTCACATGATTCAAAGAAGTTTGTTCCCAAGAAAGATGAGTTCAGAATGGGCCACATTAACTTACTTTTGTCGTTATATGCATTAAAGTTTCACCTACCTGGAAATTGATAACTGTAACTGGGGGCAAATCCAGGATATCCTCGGCCATAGGTTGCAACAAAATTTGGGTAACCTTGAATAGATAAGTGTTTGAGAAAGAGGAATTAACCAATTAATTTAAACCCAGATTCCTATTTCACATGCAAATAATTACACCAAAGAAAGAGAAGAAATTTGATTTTTGTGCAAAGCGTTAGAAGGTTTTTTCCTGTGTGCGTCACATCAATGCTGATTAAATGTTAAGTACAGTACAATGATCTCACAAGAAAGTCTAAACAGGCGTATCAGGTGCAAACCACAAAGATGAATGTGACATCATTAGGAAGACCCCAGGATCCAAATATTATTACAGATGAAATAGGGTGCTAACATGTTTAATGCAACTTTCATTTCATTTCATTTACCCCTGAGCATAGAAAAATAACCAGAGATCTAGTGATTAGTATCATTTCTTGATCGCTTCCTCCTTCCTCTCCTTTCCTGCTATTCATAATTAAAATGCACCCCAGTAACTCAAAGCCAAGGACTCTGCCTACTTTTCTCTGCTGGGAAGAGTAAATGCCAAGCACTGAAGGATAAGCATATAACACAGGTTTGCTTTGACATTTGGAGAGCTTACAACAAATGTACTTTGCTTCGGAACTATTGACAGTTTGAGATTAAGGTACTAGTGATGCTTCATCCTCAGAGTCTGAAGGACAACTGTTAACACATCCAAAAGTCAGAAGCAGCAAGTTGAAGGAGCTGGGAAGACGAAAGGGATTTTAATTTCGCTTAGGATGCTAAGGTTCAGCAAAACGATTGCAAATACTTTTTATGGAGCAGTCAACAAGATCAGTGGATTCTCAACATTTTCTTTTAAAAGTGAAACCAAACATTTCAATAGAAGTCTTCAAATACCCAGCCACCCTCTTAGAGCTAATATGAGGATGGAGGAATATTAATGAAAGGGGGGGGGGGAGAGAAGAGGGAAATCTGCAAATAGTCTGTGGAGATTCTCAGTCAACCAGGTCATAGCTGTCTCAAAGGTGCTTTTTTTTCTTCAAATGGCAACTGGACTTAAGCTTTTGGGATGAGAAGCAAAACATTTTCTTCTTCTTCCTCAAGGGAAAAAAAAAACCAGTCCAGTTGCCTTTTGAAGAAAAAAAGCACCTTTGAGAGATCTGGAAAGTATTTGTCACTCTATTTGTTTTCAACTGATTTGGAAAGCCTCAAGGGGGCACCAGCCTCCAGAGAGAATTGATGGTGGAGAACAAATTGGTGCAAAAAGGATTCAGTTGAAAACAAATTCGTCTTGCTGGCTGCAAAATTCTCTTTTGGAAAAATTGCTGTCTTGTGTTTCTTTTTCTTGTGGAAGACAGGTATGTGGTGGGAATGTGGCATTTGCTCAGACAATCTGAACTCCCTGTACTTTTGGCACTGATTACGTGTGGACCAATTTAGGTGCTAGTTCAGTGGTGGCGAACCTATGGCACGGGTGCCAGAGGCGGTACTCAGAGCCCTCTCTGTGGGCACGCGTGCCGTTGCCCCAGTCCTAGGCCTTCAGCTGGGTTTTATAAAACCTTTTTGCTTTAGGCCTCCGCCGCCGTGTGCAAAAAAAAAAAAAAAGGTTCAATCAGTCAATTTCAACTTCTCCCGGGAAAAAAAAAGATCTTGCAAAGTTGGAATTGATTGATTGAACTTTTTAGTCCCACCCAGTCTGCCATTACCACAGCAGCCATGCCCACCCAATTGGCCACACCCACCCAATGGGCCACACCCACCCAGCATAAGTGGGTTTTGGGTTGCAGTTTGGGCACTCAGTCTCTAAAAGGTTCGCCATCACTGTGCTAGTTGAATGGAATTAGGACCGTTGGTCAACACATCTGAAAAGTGTTTCAAAGGTGCTTTTTTTTTTTTTTCCCCCAAAAGGCAACTGGGCTGTTTTTTCCTTGAGGAGGAAGAAGAAATCGTTTCGCTTCTCATCCAAGGAGCATCATCAGTTCTGATGATGGGGGGATGGAAGGATAGATACTGACAGTTGAGAGTGGATGGTGTGTGTGTGTGTGTGTGTGTGTGTGTGTGTATGTGTGTGTGGAAGGATAGGTTCTGAAGTGGTGGTGGGGGAGGGGATGGAAGGATAGTATTTCTTTGCAGTCATCAGGTCATTAGCATTCTCTCTCAGGGCTGTTGAGGCCACTTGGGGGTTTATCTGTGCCCTCCGGGTCACCTGAATCAAGGTACAATTGGTGGTAGAATCTTGCTGGACCTGTTGCAAGGGCTGCGTGGTAAACTGGAGAGAGGTGGTGTCTTATTCCTCCCCCTCTGTTGAGGGAGGGGTATTCAATTCTAACACAGATGGATTCTTTTACCCCTTTTTCAAACTGTCGGAAAATACAAACATTGTGCTTGGAAAGCCAGCAACAGAGCTGAGGCCAAGTTCTATCTTGGTTTCCTCTGGCAGAGTTAGGGAAATCCCTTTCCCGAAATACTGGTGATACTAAGTCAAAGGCCTGGCTTGGTACTGCCAAGTTTCCTTTGTTGCACATTAAGGCTATCCTTGGGATTGGGTCTTTCTGATACCATGATTCCAGCTCTCACTCTCTGCCCATCCAACAACGATCCTTGCTGGTCTCCTTCTCTTTCCAATTATTCACTTTATGGAATCTTCAAAGCTTTCTTGAATCCATATGCACAGGTTTGGTATCACTGTTGTTACTATTCATTCTGCTTTGTTTTTCCACTCGGCTGTTGTGGGGTTTTTTTGAACCACCATTAACTAGATTAACAGTGTTTCTCAACCTTGACAATTTTAAGGCATGTGGACTTCAACTCCCAGAATTCCACAGCCAGCAATGCTGGCTGTGGAATTCTGGGAGTTGAAGTCCACATGCCTTAAAATTGTCAAGGTTGAGAAACACTGAACTAGAATATTTCAATATTCTTAAAGCACTGGACACTTGATTGGGTTTTTGTATCTCTCTTCAGTGGCTGGAAGATGTATTTTTTTAAAAACAAAAGGATAGCTTACAAACAAAAAGGGAACGGTAAATTTTAAATGTCTTTAACTAGTGTGGAAATAAATCTTAATAAAAAACTGATTTTCTATTTTAACTTTTTTCTGTAAGCTGTTTACCTATACTATATTTTTAAAGTCCAATTTCACTATAATTTCACATCTTTCTCTTCAATACCTCCAATAGATTTGTTTAAAGGCTGAGTTCTATATTTCTCTGGTCTTAATTCCTGTATGCCTAACATTTTAAACTGTCATTTTTATCTTGTTGTAAGCCACCTAGAATCTTGATAGAGAGATGGGCAGCATGTAAATTTAATAAATAACATAAATAATATGCATTTTCACAGTAGAGCTATACAGTTGCTCAACAACTGCCCTGGTTAGCTAATATTCAAAGAGCTGAAAAAAACACCGGAAGTTTTTAAGAAGAGACTGGACAGCCATTTGTCTGAAATGGTATAGGGTTTCCTGCCTGAGCAGGGGATTGGACTAGATGACCTCCAAGGTCCCTTCCATCATCATCATCATCATCATCATCATCATCATCATCATCATCATCATCATCATCATCACTTTATGACCAGTCAATGCACTCATAACCAGCAGTCAAGTGACCAAAATTTAGGTCCTTTGCAACCAGGGGGTATTTACAACCATGGTCACATAGTCACCACTGGTGCAACCCCAATTAATGGAGAAGCAGGCAGAAAATTCGCAAGTTGTGGTCATGGGATGTCTCAGTTAATGACGACGATTTGCTTACCAACAGTGGGAGTAAGATCATAAGCCTGTTGTGGTCACATGATATCTTGCTTAATGACCACAATGCTTAGCAATGGAGTTGCTGGTCCCAATTGTAGTTGTTAAATAAGGACGGCATGCAATTCTTTTTCTATAGACTTCGATTAGTCTAGGATCTGTTTTTAGTTTCAGTTTCTATTTCTGTTCTATCCAAGTCTTTACATTTCCTTCCTCGATTCTGTGTATCTGGCTGGGCTTCTAGACTCTTCTCTGATTTCTGGCTCCATCTGAGGGAAATGGTATAGGAAGAGCTTTTTCCTCACGGCAGTTCTGAGGGAAGGAAAAAAATGTTCCTCTCTCCCCAGTTTTCTCAGCTGCTGCCTCTTTCCTGGTCACCATTTTCACCTCTTTTAATTTGCCTCTTTATTTGACTCCTGGGCTTTGGCTCTGTTTATTTTGCCACTTCTTTGCCAAATCTGTGGCCGCAGAGCTCCCAGACTGCCATCTTGTTTCTGATCTTATGCCCAATGCTGCTGTTTGATTGGCATTGGAGCCATCTTGATAACAGGGGAGGAAGAAGTGCAGGAAAGAGAGGGGGGGGAAGAAGGAAAGAAAAGAGAAGGAAGGAAGGAAGGAAGGAAGGAAGGAAGGAAGGAAGGAAGGAAGGAAGGAAGGAAGGAAGGAAGGAGGAAGGAAGGAAGGAAGGCTTCTTTAAGTTTGCTCCACTGTCTATGGTATTGGTAGGCAGTGAAGATGGAGGCCTCTATGAACTTTGGGCTTATTTTAATTTAAAGTGAATTTTCACCTATTTAGTTATGCATTTTGATGATTGCATCTGGCTATTGTTTCAGATGTGGCTTGTACAGGTAGTCATTGACTTACATCCACAATTGAGCCCCAAATGTCTGTTACTAAGTCAAACATTTGTTAAGAGAATTTTGCCCCATTTTACGACTTTTCTTGCCACAGTTGTTAAGTGAATCACTGCAATTATTAACTTAATAACAAAGTTGTCAAGTGAATCAGGCTTCCCCATTGACCTTGCTTGTAAGAAGATCAGAAAAAGTGATCACATGGCCCTGGGACACTGCAATTGTCATAAATATGAGTCAGTTGCCAAGCATCCGATTTTGGTCACGTGACCATGGGGATGCTGCAATGGTCATAAGTGTGAAAAACGGTCATAAGTCACTTTTTCAATGTTGTTGTAACTTTGATTGGTCATTAAATGAACTGTTGTAAGTCGAGGACTACCTGTATATGCTTGAGTCCAACAGCAGTGGCAGGTAAGCTGCCTGCCTGGAAGGGAAAAGGGCCCAATAGTGAGTCATGAA